TCAGCCCATGAACCATGACCCCTTTCCATATTCCTCTCACAACATCATACCTATTGTAATTCCACAGTGCCCTATTTTTCATGACTGCTGCATTCCTGTTACCTTTAGTCGTCACGTATATTTCGTGTTCCCTCAGATACTCGGTCCCATTGCTTATCCATACGCCCAGATATTTGTATTTATCTGATATCTCTAGCGTGACCTCCTGTATTCTAAGCTCACTACCTTCGTTGTCATTGAAAATCATGACTGCTGATTTTTCCTTACTGAGTCTAAAATCTAACCTATCTCCCTCATTACCGCAGATGTCCATCAATCTCTGCAAATCTTCCTTGTTGTTGGCCATTAGCACTATATCATCTGCGTACATTAATGCTGGTAGTGCCTGATCAATAAGTTTTCCTTGTTTGACTAAAGAGAGGTTGAAGCCCAGTCCACTTCCCTCTAATTTTGCCTCTAATCCTTGTAGGTACATCATGAATAATAAGGGTGACAAGGGGCACCCCTTGTCTAAGCCCCCGTTTTACCTCTGCAGGCTTGGATACCTGTTTTTCCCACTTTATAACTACCTTGTTACCTTTATAGATACCCTTTAAAAGATTAGTGACTACATGTTCCACGCCTAGTGTGTCCAGTATTCCCCACAATTCCTCTTGAACCACGCTATCGTACGCTCCCTTGATATCCAAAAATGCTAGCCACAGGGGCTTGTGTTCCTTTTCTGCTATTTCGATGCACTGCGTCAGTGAGAACAGATTGTCTTCCAACCTCCTGTGTTTCCGAAACCCATTCTGCAGTTCCCCCAGCAGCCCCTCATCCTCTATCCACGCCTGCAGTCTTTCCTTTATAATTTGCATCACCAGCCTGTAGACCACTGATGTCACTGTTAAAGACGGTAGTTGTTTATGTCAGCTTTTCCCCCCTTTCCTTTATAGATCATGCTCATCCTGCTAAGTTTCATCCTGCATGTTGCCTCCATGATGCGAGCGCCCCTGGTGGCCACCTGTCCTTATACATATCTGCAATATTTGATAAAAGCATAACGAGCAGCTCAAGAGTGCTGCGTGTGCACCCTTGCTGCCTTCGAGAGTGGAAATTTCTATGCTGCAGGTGGAACGAAAGAACCTGTCCGAAGGAAAACAAACACCCCCGAACACGCCTGTGGGAAGCGTGACGATGGTTTTGGCGCGAGAACAGAACGACACAGAGACAAGAAGGACACGAAGGGCACGAGGCGCGTGTTCTGTTGGCGAAAACATAGGCAATCACGCTAACGTCGCTGCACTGACAAAATGTTGACTAAGTAGTGACGCGGCCGTGTTCGCACACGGTGTTTCATTGATAACCACCGCAGATGTCCCACATGTGTTTCCAACGCCACGCGCGTTCTTGTAGCCATTTTTATCAACGCTCCTATCACGCACTCCGTACTGTCTTCATGCCGTGGCAACTGCAGAGCAAGCTCGGAGCAAACTTGTCTGTCGAAAAGCTCGGGCCATCTTGCATCGCACCCCAGCTGAATTTAAAAATTTGGGGTATCAGCATCGCGATCGAAGAATCTGAAGCGTACACTGTTCCTTTCTCATGACGCGTTGTTGCATGTGGGACGATATCGCAAGCGGGACGATTTCGCAAGCGGCTACCACATCTACGTATGCCAAATTAGCCAGGAAATTTCAGTGAGTAGCGGCTGTTATTAACGGGGCATGCACCGAAATACGGAGCGATCATTCTATGCTGTGTTTCAGCGTGACCCACCAGTTTCATATATACAGCCCACGCTCTGGTGTCATCTCGTGCTGTCAACGTGACAAGCGTCGCTCGTAATCGCTCCCTCAACCCGCTACCCTGTATATCTAGTACACTGTATCCAAGTGAGTGTGCAGAAAATACTAAGGTGGCCAGCCGTCAGATAGTTGGTGGAGCCTGCAGAATTTCTCGTCGCAGTTTGGCTGGCACAACGATGAGGTAGTTCGCCTGGGCCGGAAAGAACTTCTTGTTCAGCTGGACGTCAATTTTCAAGAAAAATTATGCCAATCCTCGCCTCAATGTCTTTTATACAACGGAGGTACTGCCCTGCAGATACTCTGCTAGGGCCCTCAAGTCCATCTCAGGTCGTTGCGATTCGGCGAAGTCGTCGGCACTTGTGGTTCCCAAGAAGAAGTCGTGATTCTGGTTATCCTGTGGCGGTGGCTCAAGGGGGCACGAAACAGACAGTCGGCGTCGGAGTGTTTTCTTCCCGACTTTTAAACGATGCTAACGTAAAAATTTGTCAGTAGTCTCCTTTTATTCTGTGTCTTTGCAATTCAAATGTCCACAGTGAATTTAACATACTGCTGGCTCTGTTTATGCACACAAGCAGATAGTTATACCGCTATAAGACGAGAAGAAAAGGACCCTACGAATTGGCCGGGACTACCCGCGTATCAGCTGCTCTGTCGGTGAACGCCACCTTCAAGGGGCCCCTCATCAGGTCTGATCATTTTGAGCCGACAGGTGCTTTGCATGAACTGGAAGCTTGCAATCACACCTGTCAAGGTTTGCAGCACTACTCGCCGAAAAAGATGTGAAATTTCAAGATGAACGCCGCTTGCCCTTTTTGCAGGGTCGCGAACAAACATGGAAGAGTTGACGAACAACAAGGAATGGTTTTGCGTAGTTATTTGAGCTCTGACATCACTTGCTGTGGTGCATAGCACTGCGAGAATTATTTGAGGCAACATGCGTAATTTGTGTAATTTGTTGCTTGAAATTAAAGAAGAGTGAAAGTTGAGAGGAATAAAACGAACCAGCAGTTTCTGTATGCATTTTATTTCGACTTTTTAACTTTTATTCGCACTCAGATGTGAGACTAATCTGCCTCCGTTTCATACGCACTCGTGTTTTCGCCGTTCATGCGTCACGCCGATGATAGTCCTGAAAACGCGTGGCGCATTCTTGGTGCATCGTCGTTACAGCAGTTACGCTTTGCAATGTCGAGTACTACGGTAAGAATTGAGAACGCAATTGCTTTGAAGGTCTAACTACCATTTATATCAATAAAACGCCTGATTGTTTAACTATTGATCTACTACCTCCTTTTCACTGACGACACTCTACGGTTACGCATTGGTTTGCCATCTTCCCGTGTATTCACAGAAAGACCTTATATTTCCTGCCCACTGCCACTCCATGTCTTCAAGGTGGTTCACTTCCTTTAGTACACAGGACAAATGGCTGTAGAAGCCAACCGTCATATCATCGGCAAAAAACTTCCCTCTCTTCTCCTCACCTCTTCATGCCATTATTCCCCCTCCCCATTTCATACAGACGCTGGGACGTGCTTCCATTTAGGTCCCATAAATAGAGTCTCTCTCTCTCTCCTGAACCTCTGCTCTTCAGCCACTCGTGACATGTGAACTCGTTGACGTAAGATGTCGGGTGCGTACCATGTTTCGGCTGCTTACGGTCATTTTCCGAAATTTGGTTGAACTAGAGGGTTAGTTTGAACCCGATAATGTTCCCAAAGATCAATGTTGGCTGTTAGCATGAATATCAACCTCAAACTGCTCTCGAAAGTGAAATTAGAGGTTAAATGGTGTTCGTATAGGTGCCGATTTGGAAGAGAGACATCTATATAACAATTTATATGCATTTAGCACACATACCGAAAACAGGCATCTATAGGCACTATAAAACACTACAAAAACTTTCTTAAGGCCCAACTCGTGCTCGCATATCAATTGCCACGATAGGAACGCAAGGAACAGAATATGCATTTGTCTCAAATCCAGTCTCTGACCACGCGAGCAGTCTAAGGGGCAGACTAAAGTGGTCCACTGGTGAGCCATGACGTAACTAGCTTGCTGCACTAGTGTCTGCATTGCGACGACGTTCCGTGCTCGTGAAATCGAGATAATTTAGCTTTCTTCAGCTTGACACTGAACTTGAATGATATAGGCAGCGGCTCAAACTTTGGTACCGCTCTGCTCAATGAAGCGCATGACTTCACAGACGCCTTTCCAAAGGTGCGGTTGCCGGTAACTTCTAGGGCTTCTTTTGAACTGAAAGTAATATTTTTGACAGTATGATTTTTATATATGTATAGACATAACAGACCCTCCATCAGCGGGCGCGTAACTTTTTCAGGTTTGAGGGCAGCCAGGGCAACTGAGTTGATTCGATGGCGCAGTGAGGTGGAGAAATTGCGTTGCGTTATTGTTAGTCTGACCTATAGGGACTCCTGCCGCTGGCGCCGCCTCTGCCTTCTGCATTCAAGTTTTTGCTTGAAACCACTAAGTATTGGGTTAACACGTCATTCCCCTTTAACTTAGACTAACAACGTTATGGTGTCACTAAGGGTATGTCACCATCTATACATCAGCCTCGAAATACCATTGCCTTTGAGCAGCACAAGTATTGGCAGGTGGGCAGGGCGGGTATAAGCACGGGTTTACCACCCCACAGAGTTTATCAGTTTGCATGTTTATATGCACACGAACGAATGCAAACGCATGCATGAATATGCATCAAGAACTTTGCGCCCCCCTGTTAAAGGCAAACTGAAGAGCAAAACGATTTTTTGTGCATTAGTAATGGGCAATTCCAAAATCCTGAATACAGCCCTCTTACCTCCACACGAAGCTTAGTAAGTCCGAAAAATCAGAGAGGGGACGCCACCTTACGATTTACCGTGCCAAACACCGTGACGCAAGGGATTTTGAAGGTGTCTACTGGATTCTATGTTGCTTCCAATTAATAAAAACGAATGACATTGTAATTTGTGGGTGCCATACACCTATCGTATACGAAATTTGAGATGTTTTCCTAGCGAAATACACGAAAGTACCAAGAATACCTCAATCATAAAAAGAAAACTTCAACCTTAATTTTCCCCGCTAGTAATTAATTTACGATAGCGAAACATATGGCATTAAAGATTTCAGGGTGCCAGTCTAAACCGAGTCATTGATTATCTATATGCCTTTTTAAAACACTCTCGCTGCGCTATTGTCGGGCAGGTCTGCCGACGAGTTGGTGGTGGCATCGTCCGAGGCGGTTCCGCACAAGCTGTTCCCGTTCGTGCCCACCTACCACGACCAGTTCCTGCCCAAGGTCCCCGCTGTGGCTGTGCGCAAGGGATTTTTCAACGCCCGCGTGGACCTCCTCACCAGCGTGACCTCTGACGAGGGCTTAACGTCTCTCGTCTGGCCACGGCCTTGGCCGGAACTGTTGTCAGAGAAGCTCGACGACATGGACCTTGACACACTCAAGAGCTCTATGACTCAGGTAAGACGAGAACGGAAGCTCGAGCGAGCTGGTGCGCGCGTACCCTCACGGAAACGCCATACATGGCCCATATATAAGTTATATCTGGCCATATATAAGCATATATGGCAGCATAAGTGGCCACATATAAGCATATATGGCAGCATATGTGGCCACATATAAGCATATATGGATGTATATCTGGCGGAGTCGGTTCATGTATGGGGTTATATACGGCCATATATGACGCGGTTGGCCCATATAGGGGTCAAATCCGGCCAAATAAGGCACGGCCACACCATATATAACATATCGAGTGGATCCTTATATGTGGAAGTGCTCTCTTATTTGGGATGAACCACGTATATATTTAGCACCGTGATCACACTTTTATGCGAATTGTAATATATAACAATTTGTACACAAAGCTGACCTGCTTATTTTTCATAACAATAGGAGTATTAAATATATATGTTGTTTCTGCCATGCAAAAAAACCGAAACTTCAGGTCAGCTTTGTGTACGTGATAGTTGCAACTCAGTTGAATGCATATATGCATGCATTCGTGTAATTTAACTCGTACATTTTTCATGGCATTTAGGTTTGAAACAATGAGTTGCAATTAATACGACGTAAATAATGTATACGAGAGCAGACATGTTTTACGAGGAAGGAATCGTGTCAAGTCACAAAACGTATTGAAGCTTCCGAACCTTGCTATTATTATAGAGCAATCCTATATAGTACTATGTAAAGACAAAATGCATGCAACTTATATTGTTCACATTATGCATTGTTTAAAGTGTCAGCAAGAAATAGTATTTCAATGCACTTTTAGCTTCCACATCGGTGGACAAAATTTCTGATTATTTGAAAGTTTTGATGGCCATATGCTCCCTTCATATAACAAGATTTCTATTAATCCTGTTGACCCCTCATCTGCGATTGCTTTCAGCAGCCATTTACTATAATTGCATGCGCAGTGCAATGTTTAAGGGAGTATTTTCAAAAACAAAAAGAACTTACGTGAATGCAACTTGCAGGCACTATTATGATTACATTCAAGATGGAAGTTGTACTAATTTATTGCAAAAATACATCTTGCGCTTCCTTTGGCTACGTATAATGTTCCTGGCTGTGCACATTGTAAATTTATCGAAAATTTTATGATTGCACAAGTGAACAATTAATTTAGTGTAATGTTTGCAAGCGTCAAATAAATCTCACGTCATAGACATGTACGTTAAGAAAGGTGCAACTGATTCACACGTGATACATATTTAATGGACCATGTAATGAAATGCTGAAGCTTTATAGCAACATTTAACGTAGGCTGCCGAATTCACAAAACTTCTATTTTGTGTCGGTGTGTCATTACTTGGTCGAGGTCACTAAAGCACACGTGCCATCATCAGGATTAGCCTAAACATTGCCTTGTGAATACAATTAGTATGACACATTTTGTGCGGGCTGGCGTGATACCTAAGCCAAACTCTACATTATGTAAACAGCCCCTTGCTGTGCAGGCGCGTAACGATTCAAACTGCTTGCGAACATATCCTTTCAACACCAACACGGTAGTGCACTTACTTATAAGATATGTATGCCGGTACATACCCACCAAACTGACAAGCGTACACTCGCGTATAGAGATTCAGGGGCACCCGGACACTGGCATTTCATTCAATGTGGCTAGATATTTTCGGACATGTCAGAATGATATGAGTGTATTATTATTATTATTATTATTATTATTATTATTATTATTATTATTATTATTATTATTATTATTATTATTATTATTATTATTATTATTAATGTTGTTGTTGTTGTTGTTGTTGTTGTATTTCGCAAAACGTCCAACAGCAAATCCATATGCTGTCATACTGTGTCGTTATGTAAGTTTTATGAGATCAGTTATCTTGGTGTTCTTTTTGATAGCATGCTGAATTTTTTCTACTTGCATTAAATGTGCTGCCATGCGAGGCCTTCATTCTCTTCCTGTTGGCTCAACATCTCGCGAGGATCCGGTTCTCCTACAGCCTTCTACAAATTGTACACCGCGATATGTCGTCGTCAACTTGAGTACATATGCATATTTGATTTGGAATGGCCCTGCTAAATCCAGCAGTAGCGCCACTGAGTGAGTCTAGAAAAATTTCATAAGCATTTACCCTCATCGTTTCACTAGAATCCTTTCAACACTGCTAGAATATTATATTTGCCATCAGTTAACAGGCTGGCAAAATCGCGCTGAGCTGTTATTTCTTTACAAGCTAGTTCAGGGTGAGATATTCTGCCCTTCTCGGTTGTAATAATTTTGAAACTCCGCGTAAGTTACCGAGAGAGAATCGACCGTTGCATGTACCTGCCAGCTTCTTTCAACACTCTATCCTTTACAGAATACTGAGTCTATCTAACGTCAACTTTCTTAATTCGTTATGTTTTTCATAGTCTACAGTCATTTTCTTTTTGTCAGTGAGGGCTGCCCTGTCCTAACGTAGCTTTGCACATGCACAGATTCTTCCCTTTTCCGTCTTTCAGGAAGCCTTCGGCACGGTTATGTATATTCTACATTATTTTTCAGTCCCATTCCATGAATATCTACTCTTTTATTTGTTGTTTTCATTGTGCGTTGATTTCTTTTCGACTGCTCGTTTTTGCTCTTTTTATTGATTTGCATTTCTGTGGACAGTCTGTAATGAATTGTTTGTTTTTGTTTTCTTTTCGCGCGTGCCAGCATGAAAGACCCTATGGTTGTTCTTTGGTAGGTTAAAAAATGATTGATTGATTATTGGTTGATTGAATATTATTATTATCATTATAAATGCTTGCGTAATAAGATGAAAATTCGGCTGAAACGCGTCTTCGTAGCCAGCGTACACGAAGCAGCGATTTCAGCTCCACGGAATGCCTGTCTCAAAGGTCTTGCACGTGCAGCTTTCTGGGCCCGCGGAAGGAAGTTGAAGTCCATTGTCCGGAAAAACTCGCCTGACTGCTAGGTTGCAAGGGGTGCGCACAGTAAAAAAAATACAAAAAAGGGCGCCCATCGAATGGGTGGACAATTCGGAGAACGTTGTTCGAAGGAGCGCACGTAGGCACCGTGAAGCCCTGCCGTGGCTTACACCAGTCTGTCGACAGAGCAGGAAAGAGAGTGCCGCGGCCCATTTCAAGTAACGACAAAGAAAATAGTTTGCGCAAACATTCAGTCGTATGGTAATAACATTGCGTCAATAATAGTTAAAAAATGAAACCTCGTTCGCCAATAAGCTCAGGAAAATTTAGTTCTAGTGAAAAGTGCGTAAATCATTGATCTCAAGGAGTAATGTAGTGTCCATTGCAATATTCATTGTCAAGCCTGCGTGCACTGTATCCGTCCGCGTCATTGTTGTTTTTTTTTTTGCTCGCCGGAGTCATGGGTGCCATGCTGATCGAGTTTGTTAGTTTTCATTCCTTTTGCTCTTATTTCGTGTTCAACTACTGCTCCAATTTACACAAGATAATCGCGCAGCTCTCGAGAATCTTCTTCGCTGTACGTGGCGAAATTGTGGACGGACGTGGAAGTGTTTTTGTGTGCGTGTGCGTCTGTACGCTGCTGGATTGGCGATCGTCAACTTTTCGTGCGAGAAGAAAATGGATACCCACGCTTGCGGGCAAGCGTTCCTTCAAAACTTCTTCCTAAAGCAGTACGAATGGACGTGGTGGCTTTAAGGTGTGAACAGGTTATCAGGATTAACAGGCTCCTTGAAAGACAATTCTAAGGTAAGTTCATCATCTTCATTACCTTCGCACGTTGTTCATAAATATTATGATAACTCGAAAACATACCACATTGCATGCTTGCTGAGTAAATAACTTTACGTTAATCGTGGTTACGTCATTAGGCTGTTTTGTTTAAGCATTATGACAACACTTTCTTTTTTTTTTCACTTGATCCAGACAGTGCTCTATTTAATCAAAAAATCTACGTCAGGAAAATGTTGGTTTCGTGCCATTGTACTTTTCATAAATATAATGATGTAAATATACTTGTGTTGTACTTTTCTCATTTTAACGCTTGAGGAAAAACCAAGGATAAATTACAACTTGCGCAATTACAAATGAAAAAGAGTTGCATATCTCCAACTCCAAGGGTGTCATGAGATTTATGAGCCCACGTTTGAATTTGTCTTGCGTTTGAATTTATCTTTCTTCGTCTACGTTCCACTTGTTTTCATATTTACGTGTGTTTTGATAAGGACACACAGTTAAAATTTTGTTGCTAGTTTGATTCTTCAAAACAGGATCAATGTCACGGATCAAAATGGAAAAACTTAAGAATAGCCCGTAATTTCGTTTCCGCCATCTACAATCAGGGTGATATAAGTGTAAATTTGACTGGAATGCGTACATCACAGGCGACATTATGGTTACTGATATCGTAACATCACGTGGTTATCTTGAGGAACTGCGCATACCCGCATACATAGTTACACAAAATAATGTGATGTCACGTTTTAATCCGTGAGCACTGTAGATATTTTTACGCAAGCCGACAAATAAACTGGTATGATGCATTAGGGCTTGCTACTATGTGAAAAAACTGGGGGACCGTTAAGCTCCGTTTTTCACAGTTGAACGTGATAGCAGTATCGATACTGTTTCTTGTGCGTAATTCAATCACTTAGTGTGTACTCTTTATTGCATGATGCTACTTGAACAAATTTAATTCTGGAATAGTACTGCGTAATTGAGAAGGTTGAAAGTGTCTCAATGAAGGTTTCGCACATGGCTGCATTTTGTGTAAAAAAACGGGTAACACAGTTTATAGAACAAGAAATATTATGTAATTACTGAGTTGCGCGAAAAAATTAAAATACAAAAGAACACACCTAGATGCAGCACACACTGACAACTGAAACATTGTTGGAGAAAACAGACATACGTATATATGCGGTTACGAGAACACGTGCGGTGAAAGAAAAGAATTAGATGAGCAGACAGATAGTATAAATGATGCGCTTCCAGGAAAGCTACCTCAG